GTCTGCTTTGGCCAGGCAGGCATCCCAGCTCAGTCCCGGCGCATGCTGGGTCCAGGGCCTACCCTTGCTGCAGCTCTGCAGTTTAAATGTACTAAGAGCCAGATGGGCAGGCAGTCTGGTTCTTACTACATTTAAAATACAGAGCTGCAGCAGGAGTAGGTCCCGGACCTGGCCTGAGCCAGGACCTAGCCGGGCTGCCTTCCCTTATCAACTAATTGAGTAGTTGATAGAATTTTTATCAACTATTTGATTAGCCTGTTAACCACATCTTAACATTTCTACTTCCAAATTAGTGTCTTTAAATGGCACTGGGCTGAAAGTAGTATGCAGCCCCCATACCACAGAAGGTGTTTATGTTATCCCTCTGACCGTAGATGATGATCTCCTATACACCTTGAAATGAAATCAGTTCTTGAATTGCATACCATCTGTATCTGATTGGAGGTATTTCTAACCTCCATTTCTTCCTTTCTATCAAGGAGATAAATAACTAATTTGTCTATGTGTCTTAGGGATGAGAATAACTAGTCAACTACCAGATAAGCAAATGCTTATCAGATAGTTTACAGGCTAGTCAACTAGTTGCTCTCTCTCCCCTTGCTGCCTCTATGAGAAAGAAGCAGCCGGGGGGAGAGTGGCGGGGGGGGGAGGGGTACTTCAAAGCGGCAGTGCCACATAGAGCCCAGGACAGCTGGGGACTTGCCCTGCTGATCCCAGGCTCCATGCGGCACTACCACTTTGAAACGCCACGTGGAGTCTGACACTGGGGCCCCGTGCCATTTCAAAGCGTCAGCGCCCCATGCAACCCAGGATCAGTGGGGAAGTCTTCAGCTGACCCTGGGCTCCACATGACGCTTTTGCCTTTGCTACACTTCAGGGCAGCTAGGACTGTTGCTACACTAAATGCATCGACTATTCGATTGGTCAGTTACTCAACATGTAACATCCCTAGCCTGGTTATCTGCTGTTGATAATCAGATTTATGTGCATGTAAATCAACAGTATTGCTTTCCTTTGTGTGTGATGTATGCATGAATTTGTCAGTGTTTCATTGTGAAAAGTTGCCATCTATCTGTTCCCTTGGTAGGTCAAGATGACTCTGCTGGCCCCAGTTAATGGGCTTCATGGATTCTGTCTCTTGTTTTGCAGCGATGAGGCCATGAGGAAGGCTGGTGTAGCCCACAATAAATCCAGCAAAGATATGGAGAGTCATGTTTTTATGAAAGCCAAAACTCGGGTAAGGCACTTCCGTATATTTCCAATTGTGTCTGTCTCTGGGAGTAGATAAGCCAAGTGCCCAAAACCTGTCAGTCTATCAACACTGGTCAGAACATTTGCATAAACGAGGTTAAATGTAAACAGGAGCATTTAATGTTCAAGGAAACCAAAGGGGGTTGCACTTTATGTACAGCTTAGCATGACTTAATTACCCTGCTTAGGATTTTTGCCATCCCATGCAGTGTAACTGGATTAACATAATTTTTAAGTGTAGATCTGGTTTAAGTATAGGCATTGGGTGGTCTATGCTGAAAACTTACATTTGTATAGCTACATCTCTCATGAGGAAAAATCTACCCCCTGAGAGATGTAGTTATGCTATTGTAACCCCCTAATGTAGACAGCACTGCCGCTTCTCTAGATGATGAATTAATTTCAGCAATGGGAGACCCCTTTCCGGTTGCTATAGTGTGTCTACACTGAAAATGCAACAATAGCACTTGAAGTGTAGGCATAGCCTTTGTTCTTGTATAAACATACCTACAGTATGTAACTGTATTGGCAATTGTCTCCACCTTCTACTGAGCATTCACTGTTCTCCTCCTGTCCTGCATAGTTAAACACAATGCTTTTTTTAATAGAACTGTCCATTTTAGAGCCTGAGTAGATCCTGGTCTGTTAAAGTATGCCAGTCCTGCAGGAGGATGGACATTGCCACTCCATCAGTGTAAGAATGTGAAGAAGGGAAACACTGAGGGATGGAGTGCATTGCTTCCCCGTGTTGTGCTAATCTATGACTTGTTTTCAATTTTAGGAGGAATATCTTTCTCTTGTTGCCAGACTTATTATCCACTTTCGAGACATTCGTAAGTAATCCTTGGATTTTCTTGTTACAGTTATAGCTAGGTTCATGAGTAGCTTGAATCTGCCAGTTCTGACTGGGGCAGGAGTTATTCTAGTGGTTTCTCTATGGGGTCTGGGCCCAGCTCCTGAATGTGTAACCATCTTCACGATGTCTAGAACTAAAGAACCCAGTAGAAAGTTATCAATAAGCAACATTTTCATTTTACCAAATATTTTCTCTCAGCTTACCCTCTCTTGTTTTCATCATGGCCAGAATGCTGAAGAGCTTCAAAGTGGTTGTGCTTCATTTATTTGCTTTACTTTGATTTACAAATTAATGTTTCACAGCTGGGTGCTTTTTAAATCAAGTACATTTTCTCCTTGGCATGGACCCTGTAGTTAGGGTATCTGCCCTTCCTTTGAGTTTTGTTCCTTCTGAAATAAGTTTCTGGAATGGAACAAACATCTCAGAGTGCTTATGAGTCTTCCTCTGTGTGGAACTGCTATAGGAAGCCACCTGTCATACACTGAACCAGGAAGCTATTTAGAGTAGCTGCTTTAGATGCTTGTCCCATTCTATAGACAATTTCACAAAACAAGCGTTAGTCTTGAAGCCTGAGTGTGAAATCTGATTTGTAGAGCTCTTAAATTGACAAACTGTGTGGGATATTGGTAGCAATAATTGACATTACAGAGCTGTCTGCAGCAGCACTTTGTGCTCAGCTGGGATGTTAAGTCCCTGATGAGGAAGTAACCTTACAAGCTCTGTAGCTTGCTGCCTGTGCTAAGGAATCTAGGTAAAATGTTTGGAGACATATTGGCATTGGGCTAACTAACAGAAAGCAGGTTTTTGTGGTGGTAATGTATTGGTTGTTGGGAACAAAAGTTTACATTGCCATGTATTTATGATCACCTGTTCAATGCAGTACAGCAAAATGTATAACTTGTGTATGTTTTCATTCCTATTTTCTAGTCAATAAGAAATCTCAGGCCTCAGTCAGTGGTAAGAGCATTTTTTCAGTCTAAGTAAAAAAAAAAAAAAAAAAACTGTCAATATTTTTGGTGACCTATGAACTGGGGAGGGAATACTGCATACTTGCAGCAAAGGAGGGCAACTGAAACTGTTAATCATACTGTGATGAGGAGGAAAGTTCTAGTGAGCCTTCTGGACTCTTCACATATGGCTGTTGCATGGAACATGCCTTTGATTCTACCTCTGTACTGTCTACTAGTGTTTATCATTATTAAACCTATGCAACAAATGCCAATATTGTGATATGTACTCTTCAGCAGGGAGCAGCTGAGTTCCTCCCAGCTTACCTTCCTGCAGTCCTCATTGGTATTTGAGTTTGATACCTGATACCTCCACGAGTCTGTGGAGTAGTCCCATCAACTGGAACATGTCCTGGTGGACTCTGCATATGACTAAAACAGTCTCCTCTGGAATTGTTAATCTCCCGTAAGGGAATATATAGCAAGGCACTGTCTGTTGCTGTTTCCTCCCAGCATGGATGGAAGATGTGCTGCACAGTAATGGTAATGCCAGCACTTGGAGGTGCTCCAAAGTTATGTCCACTTCGATCTCTGCCCTTGGAGGAAGGCGCATATTACACAGGAAAAGCCCAGGCTGCTTATATTATTATAAACCAGGCATATATTACTTGATAAATAACAGTGATGTTGTTCTGAAAAGCTGGTGATGCTTTTCCCTAGTTTATCACCCTCTCTCTGAGGAAGGAGTGCTGACCATAGGAATCTGAGGAGTGTAAGGAGCTTCAGTGTGCAGTTTAGAGGAAATGCCTTGCAAGGCGCCTCAGGCTGGACACCTGGTCTTCTGAACACTCTCACTCCTTTCCCAGGACAGAAGGGACCTAAATGGGAGCCATCACATCAGAGTGCTCTTATTTCCTGGAGTTAAAGGCAACGTATCCCATGTGGTAGCACAGAGCTCTGCTGATAGCATGCTGTGGCTGGCTGATATCTGAGAAGTGACTAATGATTTCACTTTTGTTATATATATTTAGCATTTGTTTGGTGTTTTGAGGGTTATTTAGAAATTAGTGAAGTGATTTAAATACACAAACACTGTTGTCCACAATTTACAGATGGCAACACTTATGTAGAGCTGCTGACTCAGTGGCAGAATTATGAGTGTAGAATTCAAGTTGGACCTGTAGTCTGATGCTGAATCCTCTAGCCCAAAACTTTCTTATGGCTCCGCAGCACAGAGCACTATTCTGTGGACAAGTCTTCATCTTGTTCACTTAGTACTGATGTTGTATTGGCAGATCCTATGAATGCACTGCAGAATCTAACAGGCGGCCCCCCAGCAGGAGCAGCTGGAATGGGCATGGCGTCACGAGCTCCAGGAGCACCAATGGGTGGGCTGAGTGGACTTGGGCCAATGGGGCAACAGATGAGCCTTCCAGGGCAACAGCCTCCTGGAACCTCTGGGATGGCCCCTCATGGTATGACTGGTGTGTCTGCAGCTACCCAACAGAGTAAGTATATGCTATGCTCCCATCCTCTGAAATTAAGTTAGTGTAGGCTTCCAGTGCAGAACCCTTTTCTAGGTTGAAAGGAGGAAAAAATTACAAAATACTCCTTAGGTCTGTTTTTATTGCTTCAGGCAGGATGTTTGGGGAATATGATATGGGAAAAACACTGATATGGGAAAAACAGATTTAAATCAGGCTGAGGAAAGAGATAGTGGCCTTACAATACCTCCATTCCCACAATAAATGTCCTGCCTAGACTTGCTTGCATTGCTGTAGCTGTGTTGGTTGCAGAGTATTAGAGTGAAGGAGAAAGAAGGTAGTATTTTTTGTTGGACCAACTCTTCTTTGGCTCTCTGTAAGCTTGAAGGCTTGTCTCTCACCAACAGAAGTCGGTCCCATAAAAGAGATTACCTCACTCAGCTTGTTTGTCTATCCATATGTAACATTTGTGGCTTTCCACTTGGGTGTGGATTCATTTGCTACTGCATTTGAGACTGAAGTGGAGTATTCTGAGCCCATCAGAACTGCTCCTCCTTTGACCAAAGATTTCTTTGTAGAACAGTGTGAGACTTTTTCCTTCTGTTCCTTTCAAGGGTATGAACGAGCTCACGCTTCTCCATCTCCTTACTGCAGTTCTTAATATATTGAATTAGATTGTAGAGTCAGCCAAAGCATCGAGGCTTAGATGAAATAGAAGTAAGAAATGCCATGACAGTGCAGATAACAGTTTGTTCAGATGTGTTATAACATACATCTGGAATTGAGGGGTTATAATGAGTTAATGGACTAGCTTATCCACGGTTGCTACTAGCATGAATGTGTGCTGGAAAAGAAACCAAGGTACCTTAAATTTCCGGTAAAATAGTTAGGTTGAGATTACCAATCTGTTAGACAGCTGTCCACGTTTGTCACATTGTATACCCGCATTCTGGCTTTCAGCACAGCTCCAACTGCAACAGATGGCGGCGCAGCAGCAACAGCAACAGCAGCAGCAGCAGCAGCAGCAATTTCAGCAGCAGCAGGTGGCTTTGCAGCAGCAGCAACAGTTCCAGGCACAGTCAGTCATGCAGCAGCAGTTCCAGGTCCAGCAGCAGCAAGCGGCAGCAGCAGCAGCTGCACAGCAGCAGCAGCAACAGCAGCACCAACTGCAAGCAGTCCAGCAGCAGCAGCATATGCTGAAACTGCAGATGCAGCAGCAGCAGCAAAATCAGCAACAGGTAATGAACAGCAAAGCAGTCACATGGATGACCAATAAAGCCCCTCAGCCACTTGTCAAATGGACCCTTTCCAGAGCTCTGGCTTGCATAGCCATATGACGTATCAGCTTTCCACACTAAGACCAGGTTTACACTAGACCAGGCAGGTTGGCTTACTCTATGTAGAATGCGTAGCTGGAGTCGGTTTACCGTAAACTGAGCTTGGCGGCGTCCCCACAGTGAGGGGCGGCTTCCCTTACTCCTCATGACTGCGAGGAATACGAGAGCTTGTTGGAGCTTCCCTCAGCATTTGATTTGCAGGCCTAAATCAGACCTGCTAAATTGAACACCAGAACTTTGATGTCAGCAGTGAGTGTAGACATACCCAAAGGGAATTAACATGCTTCTGCTCATGGTCAAGGCATCAGCTTGGGCTAGTAGAGTTCATTGGCAACAATTGTGCTCTATTCTAGAGAAGAGAGATTCTTTCTTTTCTTGATCAGACTGATCTTTCATAGCAAGGAAAAAGCCAAGGATTTTGTTGCCTTCTTGTTTGAGTCCAAGTGTCACGATGCACAAAATGAATTCAGTTCTGTGTACTCAGGTATATGTGGATGTGCACCACCAATATAAACACACACCTTTGGCTGTGGGCGCTCTGCTAATCAGCTGGGTGGCATTTGAATCTCTCCTGGGTGGCCGGACAAGTGCTCAGCTTAAAGAGAACAATAGTGGACAACCTGCTTTCCTCCCTCCCTCCCCTCCCCAAAGTTCCCTCTAGAAATAGGAGCTGTTTTATGTCAGTTGTGTGAATTACTCATTGTAACTCAAAAAAAAATTGAGGTACACAAATGTCAAATGGCTTTGTGCCCATCTGGAAAGGGAACTGAGAATAGTAACAGGATACAGGTGAGGTGTTTGAAGCCTAAGGCTTCAGAGTGTAGGATTCTTCATCTGGGCTAAGTGCTTTAAGTTAGTATGCTGCCTGCCACTGGCTTTCATTCTAAAACCAAAGACACTGCTGGAAACTTTAGCACCCTGGCTTTTCCTGTTTTAGATGCAGCAGCAGCAGCAACAACAGCTACAGCGAATTGCTCAAATGCAGCAGTTACAGCAACAGCAGGCAGCTCAGGCTCTGCAGCAGCAGCAGCAGCAGCAGCAAATCACTGCTTCCCAATTAGCCACTCCCCAAGTGCCTTCAGCACATGCTCCATGGGGCAACCTGAATGGACTTCTTAGTGGCAGCTGGACCAGTTGCATTGATCAGACAAAACGAAAGACCTTCAGACCAGGTGCAATGAGTGATATCTAGATGATAAGAACATGCAGCACCTGAACGTACCTGTTCTAATGAGAATAGGCTGTTCTGAGTGTACCCTCCCTAATCAGGTTATGCCTGTCACTTTTACCCAGCAGCAGTTAAAAGCCATGCAGGTGAGTGCGTTAAAGACCCAAAGCCAGTGGTTGTGTGCTCTGAGAGCCACTAGGGAAATAGAAAAATAAATAATAATAAGTCTTGTTAGTGTGAATAGCTGAGGTGTGAAATCGTGTGACATGTTAAGAGGCTACCTGTTAACCTAGTGCATGCCTAAGAGTGCTAACCACTAACTTGCATTGCTTTATTGCTTGCCAGCTCAGCATAGTGCTTTGCTAACAGTTGTGGAGCAAGTCTATGAAATTGTTCAGTGTATTAAAGAGAGATGCTAGTGTTTGAAATGCAGTTCCTCTGTTGCCATTGGTGGGACAAGAAGATGAGAAATCTCAATTATATAGACATAACATTAAATTCTGATGAATGCTGATCTTGCTAGAACATGAGCAAAGTTAATCGAATGCCTTAATACATGTTAGGGATGTTGACTAGACGATTAACCTATAAGCCTGGGTTTATCAGTTAATCTTGACGATGCACATTTCTCCTCCCTCCTCCCCCATTGCCATTGTATCAGAGACAGGAAGGGGGGGAAGCAGGAGCTGGTGCTGGGAGGAGCTTACTTAAAAGCTGGTTCCCCCAGCACAGGCGCTGTAGTGCTGCCTGTCCCCCTCGCTGCCTGAGTGCTTGCTCGATCAGGCAGCACATGGTGTGGAGAGCAGGGGAGGCTGCTGCAAAGCAGTATCTGTCCACAACTGGTCCCGACCTCCCCATGGACATTTGCCATAATCAGCACACATGTTTACTCCCGACTTCTTTTTAACGTTCCAGGTAAGAGCTCAACTGGTGCAGCAGCAGCAGGCAGCAGCAGCAGCCCAAGCAGCTCAGGCCCAGGCTGCTCAGATGGGAGCGTCAGGACAGGTAAGGGCCCATGGAGTCACCGTTAGTAGTGCAGGCCTGTAGCAAGTGCATGCTAAAATTGAGCATGGAGGTGGATTTTTGGTGGCTGTCTGAGGAGGACTCTAAGATCAGTTGTCTTTACAAAGGAGGTATGAGTGAGTCAGAGGCAGGATTTCGTTGACATCTTCTTTGTGCACGCTTGTCCCTAGTAGGTCAGATACTGCTGCCTGGAGTGACCTAGCAGTGCACATTAAGACTGTCTTTGGTGGTCATGCGATAAGTCTAACTTTATTCCTGGAGTGTTTCACTTCTATTTCCAAAACTGTTTCTGAGGAGACTGTCTTGTCATGTAGACTTATTTCTCTACTGTGAACTGGTGACTGCTGGTCTATACTCAGATGTGATTTCTCTTCCCCATCTTCAACACACAGTAGTAATACAGGAATTTCTGGCATGTTTCCCTCCCTCCCCAACCACACTTTTCTTGTTCCATTATTTCCTTCCCCCTGTCATTCTTAGTACAGTGGACAGATGTTGCTACCTCTTGTTTTGAATGTGAACGCTCAAGATAAATGGTACATGTAAATGAGTAGCACGAAGTGCTGGATGAAAACTTGTCCAGTGCACAACTCAGTTTCCTTAACCTGCAGTATACTCCAGCCTCAATGCCTGTGCTCCCGTGTGTGCCCAGCACCAAGGGAAGACTATCTGGGCTTGAGTTGAACCAGGCTTCCCATCCTCCCTAGGGATCTCATATAATGCTTGGTGCTTGTCATTTGTACTGTTTTACTGATGTGGGTAAGTATAATTATCACCATTTTTCAGGAGGGGAAACTGAAGTACATAGATGAAGTGACTTGTTCATATTGTCAGTGGCACGGATGGGAATAGAATTTGGTTCCCCTTGACTCCCTGTCTACTGTATCATGCTGTCTCCAGTGCAAAAGTAATGGCCTAGAGATCTTATACCCTGTCAGTGTTTAAAGTTTGTGTAGATGGTGAGCTGTAACAGTTGGTGGCTTGTCTCACCTGTATCCCTTAGGATTTGTGCTAGGAATAGGATAACTGAAAGCCACTTTTCTTATTGATGCTGTAGTTCTGCTAGGCCATTATTCTGTTTCTATACTGGGCCTTTTATATTTCTTACGTTATGTTGACACCAGATGAAAGATGAACAATGGTAAGTACAGTGGCAATGACACCGAACCTATTCACTACAGTTTAAACATGTGCTTATAAAAGTTTTTTGTTTTGTTTTGTGAATAATCTCCAGGTGGGCGCTACAGGGAGTTAAGGTTGCAAGCAGGATAGCTGTCATATCATTAATTTAGTATTGCTGTCCGTCAAATGGGTTGTGTTTATATGGGGGGCATTCTACTTCCTGCCCTGGTTAAATGAATTCCTCATACAGGTGACTTAATACCATAGTGCATCTAGAAAGCTTCTGGTGATGGTGGTTGACAGCTGGTTTTGCATCCACGCTACATTAACATATGGGATAAACTAAACTAAGGTGTAATTCAGTATCTGTCACAACAGTAGGGCTGCTGAAAGCTCTCTGAATCCCCCTGGCAAGCTTATTCATGAAGCTCCATGTATAGCCATACTGAGACAAGGTAAATAAATTAAATTAATTCTCTTCTGTCTAGTAATTAAACATGTTCTTTTACTTTCATGTACCTTGTAGAGTAAAATGTTTATTTCCATATAATTGTGGACTTCAGAGCATTGATTGGATTTTCCTGGATTTATAAATAACATCTTTTGGGGAGTAAATTTTATCGATTACTTTTAGTCAATTAACAATGCTTCCTTAAAATTTTCTGTAAGGCTTCCTTGAATTCTAGAGTCTGTTGTGAGGAAGTTTTATTATAAACATACCCTATGTCCTGTAGTTGTCAAATGGTCAGGGACTCGGGGATCAATGCTGCTATTATTTGTATTTTAGCACCAAGGAGTACCAACCAGTATATGTGTCATTTTCATTTAAGTCTCTGTGAGGTAAAACTAAAGTAATTCCTAAATTCTAACATGCCTCAAGTGAGAAAGTTCACTGATTTTGTTCAGACACAAGCATTCTGCTGCTTATGAACCAACCCTTTGAGACTGTAACGGTGCTCACAGATCGAGCGGATAGTGAAGTAAGCAGTGTTCTAGTGACAAGAGCCTACATGAAGTGCTATGAGATCACACTGGATACCACACAAAGGAATCATGACCTAAACTTAAGTTTAAAGTTTGAGCCTCTCTTGTTCTGCTTTGACTTATTCCAAACGTTAATGCTCAGAATGCAGATTTGCTTGTTGCTCTTTGAAAATAAGGAGCTATCCTAGTAATCCCAACATCATGCCAACTTAGACATTTGGGGAATTCTGAATACATAAGAACGGCCAGACTGGGCCATCCAGCCCAGTAAGTGGCCAATGCCAGGTGCCCCAGAGGGAGTGAATCAAACAGATAACGATCAAGCCATCTCTCTCCTGCCATCCATCTCCACCCTCTGACAAACAGAGGCTCGGGGCACCATTCCTTACCTATCCTGGCTAATAGCCATTGATGGACTTAACCTCCATGAATTTAGCTAGTTCTCTTTTCAACCCTGTTGTAGTCCTAGCCCTTACAACCTCCCCAGGCAAGGAGTTCCACAGATTGACTATGCACTGTGTGAAGAAGAACGTCCTTTTGTTTTAAATCTGCTGCCCCTTCCTCTAACGAAAGAATCAAGACTTCATCTGGAACAAATCTGTGGGTTCTTATACCTGGACTGATACTATTAAATCATGGGATTTATATCTTAAGAGAGGGGTGGGCAGTAATTTTTGTAGAGGGGCCACTTCACCAATATTGGCCAGCCCCAGAAGGGGTTGGGGTTTGGGCAGAGCAATAAGTTCCTCTAGGCACTGCGCACAAGTCAGGGGAAGGAGGCTTTGTGCGCTCTCCCATGGGGCAGGAGACCACAGGAAGTCTCTCCCTCCAGCCCCCACCCCACCAGGGGCATGGAGCACCAGAGGGGACTGCCAGCCATTTTGAACCGAATGCCATGGACTCCTGGTAGGGGGAGGTGAAGGACTTTGTGCACTCCCCCATTCCCGGTCTCGATTAGCCTGGAGGCGAGGGTGCCGCTGGGTGGGCTGTGGGCCGGATCTGGCTCATCTGTGTCTTGGGGGAAGAATCCTTTCTTTATTATCCTTGTTGTCTTCTCTCAAGAAGGATTCTCTCCCTTCCCTCAAGCTAACTTGTCCTGATTTTTACAGTGAGGGTATCTCAAGAGTAGTTTGTTTTGCCTCCAGTATACATTTTTCTCCAGAAGTCCCGGAGCACTGTCTCAGGAGCAGCAATATCTTGTCTTGTAACTGTGATGCTGATGTCCTGTATTTGCTTGCACAAAGCAACAGCAGTCTCTTGAATTGCTTTCCCTCCCTCATATCCTCAAGGGTGGGGTTCCTTACATGCCCGCTGGAAATACTGTCATGAACTTTGTGAGCACCTGGTCATGGAATTGGTATAATTTTAACAGTACATTCCCTTCCTCTCCAGCAACATGTGCTTAAAAAACAAACTAATCCAAAACAAATCATCAAACAGCTGTGAGCCTTTGAATCAGAATGTCTCCCTTTTGTTGCTTCATGGTTAGCCAGACGCCTTAACCATGAATCTGCATCTGATTTCATTGACTCTGAAGGAGATATGATACACTCACTTTGGTGGTTTGGCATGATGAGACGTAAGACCAAGATGGTACATGCAGTTCAGCATGGCATACATGGGTTTTCACATATGTTACTGGATCCTCCTGTGTGTACATGTGAGTCTGTGGGATGTATGGACTGGGCTTCGAGGGACATGTATTCTGCCAGCACTTACCTTTTCGTTAGGGTTGTGTTGCTCCACACACTCTTACGTTGATACTATAGCTCTTCACTGCACTCTGTAGCATCCACCTGTGCTTTGTGCCAGTGCTCAGTTTTTTGCTTGTGGTGGCTGTTGCATGCTGTGTTTGTACATGTGCATGTGTGTGTAGTGTCTGAAATTCTCTCATTTGTTTATCTTCCGAAATACTGTCTCTGGCCATCTTTCATTGCTTGGATGGAAAGAGATGTCATTGCTCTAATGTTGTGAACTAACAGCTGTGCTGAATTTGATGCTGGTTTTTTTATCAGTTATTGCTTTCCTTTCTCAATCTTTGTGTTGTAATTTAATTTTATTTTAACAATTGTAAGCACATGCATTCTCTGACACTCTCTAGAAACATATTGCTGGCTGCTTCAATCCATTGACACAGAAACTAAGCAAAACTGCCCACAGCCATTGAAATAAAATGAGACTTTTTTCATACCTGGATTAGTTAGGTCCTGCTAGAACCACTAGTAGTATGCAGATTAGAGAAAGGGAACTTGGAGCTCTCTGTCAAGAAGTGAAAAAGAGCTCTTCCCCATTGATAGCCCTCATTTCCTGAATATCAATAGCACAATGTGCCACAAAATGCTAAATTTTCACTTCTTGTATCAGACTTCTGATCTATAGCACATTCTGTGCAGTTACAGAATTGAAAGCAATTATTAAACAAAAACCAACATGCAGGTATACATAACTAAAACTGGCTGGTTTCTAGAACCAGCAGCCTGCAAGGAGGTTTGAATATTGTGGAACCAAGAATAGCTCATCCCTAAGACCATTTCTAAAAATAAATGCATTCTAGGTAGGGATGTTGAAATGCATTATTTGTGTAAATGTGCACCTGTTGAAATTTTCAGCAGGTACACGTTTACACAAGGGGTGGAGGAAAGCCAGTGCTTGTGGGGAGCCAGCTTTTTAAGAGAAGCTTAAAAGCCAGCTCTCTGCGAGTACTGGCTTCCCACTCCATGCACTGCTGCCTCCTGGTTCCCTGCATGTACTGGTTCCCACCTGCATGCCCCCTCCTGCTCCCTGCTGCTACCTCTTTATCAGAGGCAGTAGCATGGGGTTGGGAGGGACAGGCAGCTCTGTGGGAACATGCAGCAGGGCAGGATGCATATAACCTAGAGGGTTAACTGATGAATCCAGGCTAATCAGTTAACCGTATATTCAGATACACATTCACATTCCTAATTGTAGCACTGACCTTTGTAATTGGTCTTTAGTAGTATTTATATTCCAACAGATTCTTCTGAGTAAAGGTTTAGATAAATGTACCTGAGGAAAGGCTACTTTATGGCCCTCATCCTTAAGGGGTTACTGATTTAAGAGAGAGAATAGGTGTTCATCCTAGGGGAGCTCAAACTTTTAATTTTGACTATTAATTTCACCTATTCTGGAGGTGGCAGGAAGTACTTTATCTAAATCCTAGAAGTCCTTTCTGTTGGAATGATGAAAGTCTTTTCTTTAGAATCATTATACTGCCAAAGGTTGATTGGTTCTGAAGTCTTGTTCACTAAATCACAGGCTTCATTTGAGGATTCTTATCAATCCTTTACAGGCTGGACATCTCTGCTCTGGCACCCTTGGGACCAGCCTGGGGAGGTCTTTTCTGGTCCCTGCTGCTGATACCACTTCCTGCTTTGTCAGCCCACCGGGCCCCCCAGCTCCCCAGGTGGCCCAGCTGGGTTGCATGCTGAGCTTTCTGATCCCCTCTTTGCCTGGCTGGGCCAGGCACCGGCCTCCCCAACTTCCTTCCCCCCCCCAACCCAGTTGAGCTGCACATGGCCTTCCTGCCCTCCCTTTCCCCTCTAAATCTAGCTGGGCTGTGTGCCAGGCTTTCAGGGCCCCTCTCACACACACTCTGCAGCAGTGGGACTCTTTGATCCTGGAACATCCATGGTCCTGGTGGACTTAACTGATGTTGCTGGACCATAACATTTAGGTTTATAGAGGTGCAGCCTGTACTGTTGACATACCAATCAGTTCCATTCATGTGGAAAGCGGTAACGTACCAATATTACTATGAATCCTCAGATGAATCCAGAATGTGGTGGTGGACATGAGAAACAAAGACTTGCGACAGTCCATGATTGAAGAAGCTTGAACAAAGCATTTTTGATAGCAGTCTTAGAGCCTTTAATTCTAATATTAAGTTAGAAATTCAAGATGTCAGGCAAAATTTGGGAAACCCCTTCAACTAAATCATACTTCTATATAATTGGCCTTTCTCATACATCTTAATCTAAATGTCACCCCACATAATTTTTTAGGGTCCAATAGATACCCTCTACAGTGGAGATATAGGGTATGAAGCAGGGAACTGGGTCAATAAACTAGCTCCTTAGGCTTGTCAGGAGAAGAGTTCACTCAAGTCCCATCCCGGAGGTTGCATGTGCTTCTCATCCTGCCAGTGCACTGCATTTCTTGTTTTGCGATTACTTTTGTCTGTTGTCCCTCTGTCCTCAAAGATGATCACCGCAACTATGGCCAGAGGTGGGATGCAAATAAGACCACGGTTCCCGCCTACCACCGCTGTATCTGCCACGCCTCCAAGCTCCATTCCTTTGGGCGGACAGCAAATGCCACAGGTATTTACTGAGTCAAAGCACATTGTGTCAGGAATTATACAAGGTGTTCAGTACTTGGGTTATATTTAGTGCTCATCAGACTAAAAGAAGTTCACTTATCTTCCTCAGGATACTGTGTGCAGATAATTGCTCTTAGCTACTGACTGCTGGGCTTTTTGGGGGAGGGAGAAGGGGGGAATACGATAGTCCAAGTGTACCTTCCTCCCTTTAAATGAAGATTTTTTTGAGAACTTGAGCTATTAAATAACATTTTGCAAGAGTTACACAATTCACATTATTTTGAATGTTTAAAACTTTTCCATTTCATATCTGGTTCAGGGCTCAAATGAATCACCATTTTTGGTCTCTGCTTATTCTTTGCACATATCACAAAACCACTGCATGGATAGTTTTTGCTCTGGAGAGGCCCAGGACTGATGTGTCATAGGTCAGGAGTATTAGGGCATTGGCTGGGTTGTATTAAGAAGCTTGCATGATAGTTCCTCATGTTATGCATTATGCTAGCTAACATTCAACCCTTTCACGAGCAATCAAATTTGGCTAATTTCAGTTTGAGATGATTAAGACATGATGCAGGAAATACAGAGCTAATTGAAATGACCCTGAACTGAAGAAAAAAATTAATACTTTAAAAATTCCTAGCAAAGCTGCAAGTTGCAAACAATCTTTGAATAAAATAAAATATGGACCTATGGCAAACAGCACGATTATGCCCCCCAAATCACAGTTCTAGATTTCTGCTACATTTCCTACCTCTCTTTCACAGTCAGGACAATTGTCCATGTTCTTCCTATCCTTTCAGAGGTACAAAAAAGGAATTAGCATAGCTGCACTTTGTGGGAACTGCAATAATGAAGAGGCTCACAAGGCTCCTATCCCGTTGATTTTGAGAGATGTTTTGGATCAGAATAGACCCAGAACCCCTGGTATATTACACAAGTGGGTGGGTGAGGTTCTGTGGCCTGCAGAGGACAGACTAGATGATCATGATGGTCCCTTCTGACCTTTGAAATATGAGTCTATTATTATACCTCCTGTAACAGAATAGGACCAACACTAGCCTTTCTTGCATTTGTTTCACTTGCCCCAGTATATGTCATTCCAGGAATGAAAGGGGGTAAAGTAAACGGAAGCAGAAAGGGAGTTCTTTGTACATCTACTTATTAGCATTGTCACAATAACAAAGTCCCTCTTCAGCTCTATGAATTGGTTATAAAACCATGCACTACTGTTCCATAGTGCTCAGCTCTATCCGAATCTCTTGATTTAAAGCTATTTTATGCAGTGACCCTGAAGCGGAGATCAACTCTTTCTACTGCTCATCCAGTGCTTGATTGGCTTTGCATGTATAAAGACAGACTACTCCATGAGCTGCATGTCTTACATGTTCATGCTGTCACCTTCACAGACTGATTCCTGCCCAGAAGCTCCAGTTTCCATATTGCTTTCTCTTATTAACAGGTGACAAATGGCTTCTCCCATTTCTCCCAGTGTTGTGAGTTGAGTTTCCTGGGAGCTCTGGAGTGTGAGACCCATAGACCCTGAGTCCTTAGCATGGTGTATTTATTGCTGCTGAAGTTCACACTTATGAGGTACATTTAGTGTTAAAGTAAGGTGTCGGGAAGGTGGCATGTGCTGTAGCAAGATGCAGTGACCAGAAATACACCAGAGACTGTGGCATGTTTATTCATTGCCTTTTTTCCTTGGTTTTGAGCTGGAAATTTTTACTCCTCCTAATTGTTCTGTAGTTGGGATTACTTGAGTCAAAGAAGAATGTCAGTAGGTGGTGCTACATTAATAGCCCTGAATCTCTCATCCATCCATTAAATGGAGAGAGAGCCTTAACTTGTCTCTCCAACTGTCTGTTCTACATATTGATCTCTTAATATTGTGCTAGTGGTTGCTGGGAAGCATTAACTCTTGATATGAAATGAACCAGATGCAGAACATGTCAGTTTCATGAAAAATGATGTCCTGTAGTATTGTCTACTGGAGAAGTGTAGGTCAGTGAAAGAGGGGAATGTGTATGTGTGGCACTAGTTGCAATGAAAATAGTGGGACGAACAGCCAATTGGTTAGCAGTGGTGGGAAGAATGTTTAAAAAGCAAACTGATTTGGCAGGTGTTTAGGTAGTTTAAGACCCAAAGTGTGAATTTTTTTTAGTAAAAACAATCCCCCCAAATTCAATTCAGATGGCAGAAAACATAGTTCTGGTCTGTATCCTAGAGAAATGCTCGAATAATACTGTTAGTTGAACTCGAATGTGTCGCCATTATCTTGTCTTCAGACATCTTGCTCTTGGTTAAAGCAGCACTAGAAATAGCTTATGGCTGTTTCTGATTATTGGTACTGTATAAGTCTATCATCTTGATCTCAGTAATTGAAAGATTAAATGGGAAACAGTGCTAAAGTTAAGAATTTTGGTATCCTATTTGATAACCCCTTTTCCAAGAAAGGGCTAAATGTAGACTTGGTATAAAAATATTCGTTGTCCAGGCTGTGCTTTCTTTTTATCCTACGCGATACAAAACCTGCACATGCCCCTGTCACTATAAGGCTTGATAGACTCTTTGCAGAGTCCCTTCTGGATCTTGTTCAGCACGCAGCTGCACTGTTAATCACTGTTAGGGTTTAATACTCAACAGTTTCATGGCTGTTGAACTCAGAGATGTTAATATGTATTTGTGTATTTTTGCGTAAACGTCTAACTGCTGGATTTTTAGCGGTTACACGTTTCTTTGCTGGGGGTGGGGCGGAGGTGGGAGCCAGTGCTTGTGGGGAGCTGGCTTTTAAAGATAAAGAAGCGGCTCAGCAGGAGCCAAAATGTGTGGAGAGCCTGCTTGAAAATTGGCTTCCTGTGTGCCACAGAGGTAGCAGCGCCGGGAGGGCAGGTAGCTCTGCATGCATCAGCTCCCCCCTTGTTGCCTCTGATACAGGCATATTAATTAATCATATAAACAACTGCATGCTAACATCCCTAATTGAACTTGCTGCCAAATTCAGAATTGAGCTCAATTTTTTTTAAACTTTCATCTAAAAAAAGTTAGGCACCTGTTCTAGCCCTTGTGACTGAAGGGCTATGAAGCACAAACTGAATGTCAGTGGTAAGGACATTGCAAAACGTTTAAGTACCGTATTTTCCGGCATATAAGACAACTTTTTATACTAAAAAACATCCCCCAAAAATCGGGGGTTGTCTTATACGCCGGGTAAAAACATACTGTAGCTTCTGCTACATAAAGAACGTCCCTATTATTACCTTTTAGCCCGCTGGATGTGCCCTAATACAGTACTGTAGCTTCGGCTACATACAGAACGTCCCTGTGCTGATACTGTATGTACCACGCTGAGCCAATCACGGCAAGCGGTGTCATCTATTAATGCATACAAAGCCTGCTCGGATTGGCTGAGTCAGAGAGGCGGGCTATTACAACCTTTGCCAATCCGAGCAGGCTTTGTATGAACATGATGAGGATTTTGAAGGATTTTAAGTACCGGTAAGTCAAAACCATTTTAATTAAAATGATTTAAATCAAATCTGTTATTAAATGGTGTTGCCTCGGAAGGGGGGGTAGTCTTATATGGTGAGTATAGGCCAAAACCTATGTTTTAACTGGAAAATTAGGGGGTCGTCTTATACGCCCAGTTGCCTTTGTAACTGTAACTGCTGAAAATTTCAGCAGTTACATAGTTACACGCAGGGTGGTGCAATATGCTCAGGAAAGCCAGTGTGTGCTAGGAGTGAACATGCTGTGAATGTTAACCAACGAGCCCAGGCTCGCTGATTAGCCATGTACATGGTTATACTTCCACATCCCTACCTAATGGCATCTTGCAAAGTCTAAAACAATAACTAAGAAGTGTGGGCTTCCCCATTTGCCTCATTTGGGTTGACTGTGAAGCTTACTGACTGTATTTGAAATGTCAGATTAAATAGCTTTCTTCTATTTTAATAATGTTTAGCCAAAGCTTTCTATTAATATAAGAGCCAGTGTACTCATCCCAAGCAGAGTCTGTAATATATATTTTTGGTGTCAAAATCCCCATCTTCCCTGCCTGATCCTCTATAATCTTCAGTAGCTTTGACTGCTATAAAGCACTTACGAAGTGTTTGTGCAGAAATCTTGAGCACACTGGAAATTTAGGATTAAAGTAAAAATGAATTGAATATGAAATTAAATAGATCAGATACTCATACAGCTGTGAATATGAAAACCTGTGTGGTAAGCTTTATTTGAAGTTTTTGCAGAATTTTCAGGGGCCCCTGGTGATGAACGTCAAAACAGTTTACTACAGGTTACATGAGTTCACTGGCAAAGCATTAAAAATAAAAATATTGGTAGTTAACTGATTGCTAGTTTTCCTTTACACCAAAAGTATCCTCATTCCTTGGGAAGAGTCCCATAAAGGGTGCTACCCTCTGAGCAACTTGTGGGAATGGATATGCTATTAAAGGAAACGGGATATAAGCATTAATTCATTTTTCCATTGTGTTGTAGGGGCACTGTACGATGGATATACAGTCTTTTAGAGAAGGACCCCATACATAGGAGATGAGGATGTGATCCTGAGCTAAGAGCACTGCAGATGCGGTCCTTTGCTCTCCGACAGTTGTATTTGATGTGGTCTGAAGGATTACTTGCCAGAAAGAGAGGAGCTCTGCACTGGGGCAGACTGGAAGTTAAAACAAAGGGAACCCCCTGTGAAATGTTTTTCTTCCTTTGCTTGAGCTTTTGGGGACAAGTACCAACAGAGGCAGAATTACGCCATTTAATTCCAAGTATCGTTCTTCAGCTGCTGGGAACCTGGCAAATAGCCCCCTCCTCTCCAAGAAAACCAGTGAGCACAGCCTCACTGTTTGTTTTGGAGGAAAGGGGAGTAACTGTCTCAAAGCATCTGGGAAGAGAGGCCTGGAAAACATGTATTAAAATCATGGGGGAGTGGGTGGGAAAGGAATGGAGTTACTGGAAGTAGAAATGAGACCGTAACATGTTGCATTGCCATGACCCTTAAGCTATGTTTCAGTGGATGATCAACTGAAGTGTCCATTCAAAGAGGCCCTGGATTTCCACTTACCTTAATCATTTGGGCTCATTACTTTTGCCTGTCTGGAATCCCAGAACTGTCAGTTTTGCTTTTGTTTGTTCTCTGCTATTTTGCTGTGCCCTGTCGCTGGCTGAAGGGTGGAGAGCACACTTTACTAAAATCCAACTCTTTGGAGAACCACATATAGGCAGGGCTCCACAAATCCGCTTATCTACTCGCCTGTGGCAAGTAGATTTCAGCCGGTCGCCCCGTTCACCGGCAGTTCACGCATGCGCAATGCGGGTCTCACGCATGTGCAATGCGGGTCTCGCGCATGCGCAGTGCGGGGCTGGCGAGTGGTTTTCGCTGCGATCGTCGAGCCCTGCATATAGGATTATAGTAACTTTCATGTTATGGCTCATTGTAAGCTGTGTAAGAGGTGGTAGAGAATGTGAGAGGAGAGATAATAAAAGTTCAACTCTTTGTACTCTGCAGATGTGATGTTCCAGGCCAAAAATACCTGGTTACCTGTGGGTGCATGTGGTGAATTATGCCATACTGTGTTTGCCAGAGTCAATATGGCCTGTAGCAATAATGGAGTGGCTAGGAGTTAATGAGGGAAAGGAGCAAATCTACAGAGCCCCTGTAGTGTGTTGAATAGTATTTTTGTGTTCTTTGGTTTCCATATGATAGAAGTTGGCTTATTATCAAGATCCTGTTAGAAGACCACATGGTAAATTAATTAATGATATGCTGTCTTGTACACTAGATCAAATCACCTTTTTTATCTGAGTTAACACTCCGAGACAGTAGGAATAAATTGTTTTATTTTAGTCTCTGTTCCTTAATTTCATCATCTTACCATTACAAGTTGAATAAACTTTATTGTACCCAGTATTTCTCTTCTTAAGGACTGTAGATTTGAAGTTGTTGCATCATCTTAGAATACTCCCCATCTTGACCTTCCATCCTTTAGGTTTATGCAACCCCACCTATAAGACCAATAAATAAGCACGCCTTGCCCCCTCCTCATCCCATCCCAAACCCTTGAAATCTTTTCTGGCTCCCCAAATTTGAATAGTAAGAGTCCTGTGTTTCGTTCTTCATATACTGCCTTTTCCTTACCCCTTCTCTGAAAGAAAACAGATTTGGAGGCAGTAGCCAAAAAATAAGAAAAGGCTTTGAAGACTTAAGTTGAAAGCCAAAATAAAGAAGGGTTTTTTATTGTGATCACAAATTCTCAAGCCAGTTCTTCATGACTCTGTTCATTGTAGCTTTAATAAAGGAAATGCCAGTTCAGATAAAACTCTTGCTATTTTAATCTAAGCTTGTTGCTTTAGGGAAGGAGGAATGCAATCTCTGACTCAAATAATGCTTGCATTTTGAGTTTTAACTGTTAAATCTTGGTATGTAACATTCCTCTGGGGACCTCAAAAGGAAATGTGAGATACTGGCAGTGATCTCTTTATGGAAGGGTTTAGGAAACTAACACTTTCTGTTTCTTATAGAGTCCAAAGGATGCTCTTCTTACCATAGCCAAAGCCTTTTTAGATAGGTTCCCATTGCCAGCTCACTTCTTGGTTGATTGTATTTTTTCCAACTTTAGGTCAATCAGAGTAGCATTACCATGATGTCGTCTCCTTCACCTGTCCAGCAAGTGCAGACACCCCAGTCAATGCCACCGCCTCCTCAGCCACAGCTGGCAATTGAACATGAATGAATGTTAAAACAAAGTGGTTATAGGTGCTTGTCCTCCTGCGTTTTCCAGAAGGGGTTCTAATCCTAGTGATGCCTTGAGGTTGTAGCATAGCATACACTAGAACTTGTTGGCCTTTCGTGTCATAGGAACCAGGAGGAGTCATGCTCATATTGCCATTCCCCTCCTTAGTCACCTTCTCTGAGGCTACTCTGTGTTTAGCCACATACAGATACTCACTCCCGTGCCTAGTGTGGCATAATGGAAGGCAGGAGTTAAAGGATTGAATGGAATGCCAAAAGCAGAAGGCAGTGGCTATAAATCCAAGGCTTCTGCTTGGTCTGCAGAGAAAGGCCCCATCTTGCTCCTAGATTGATGGAGGAGGTATGCAGAGACCTCTGGAGTTATTAAAAACCTACTATAACAATTCAGTCTCCCTAGAGCTGTGAGTCTCTCACTAAGCCACGATTCAATGTTGTTAGCTTTGGAATCTTTCCTGATTGTTGTAATCAAAGCTATCTGGCAGGGAATTCTGACTCTTCACCTTGCAGCAGTGGCATTGACACTGCCACAAAACTGGGTCAGTTCTAGACTGTAGGCTTTTTGGGGAAGAGACCAGTTTGTGCTGCACTGATCAGCACAGTGGGCCCTGGTTCTGACTGTGGGTAGGATTTTCAAAAGCAGTCAGCATTATCTATCTAACCTTGCTCCCATTGAAATCAATGATATTTTAACCACAGAGTTTACTGGGATCAGGGCTAGGTCAGTGTGAACACTTGTAAATTTCATTCCAGTGCAAATGGGTGGGATAGGCACTCACCAATAGTAACCGCCCGTGGGGACTGCAGAACGCAGCAGCAGCAGTTAGTAAAACACACCTGCTAAGACTGTTTCTCTGCTAGCATCTTACAGGCTGCTTTATCCACATGTTAAGTGATGAGTTGACTTTCATTTCCATTCTCCAGCTCCGGTCCAGCCCCATCTCCTAGCAGCTTCCTCCCTAGTCCATCTCCTCAACCATCCCAGAGCCCAGCAGCTGCACGAACACCACAAAACTTCAGTGTCCCATCTCCAGGTCCTTTGAACACTCCAGGTAACTCCTGTGGTCGTCCATGAGAATTGTGCTGCACAGCATGATCCAGTGATGCATCTCAGCAAATAAAACATATACAGAGAAATCTAAAGTTGCACAGTTGTGCCTTTGGCTTTATGGAGGCTCTGCCAAGTGAGTAGTAGTCAAGTGGTTGACTTGATATATGCACTACATGTGCAGCAAGGAGGATATTCTGGTCTTTAGCTTGTTTGGGATTCTCTAATCTGATGTTATTGTTGATTTGTTTTTTGGTCATTGAATTACATGAGGGTTTTCATAACTTTCTGACAAAACAAAAATGATAACCTTAAGGGGATGTAAAGCCTGTTGGCTTTGGGATTTCATGCAGCTGGAAATTGCTAGCGGTTTATAAACCAATGTGCTGATTTGCCTGACCCCTTCTGTCAAGTGATGTATAATTTTCAATTTTTTGCCTTGTGCAGGAAATCCAAATTCTGTCATGAGTCCAGCAAGCTCCAGCCAATCTGAGGAACAGCAGTACCTGGAGAAACTCAAACAGCTGTCAAAGTACATTGAACCACTCCGGAGGATGATCAATAAGATTGATAAAAATGAAGGTGTGACCCCTTGTATTTCACTGTACAGTTGTCAGCCTTTGGTTGAGACAGCTGTGTACTGCTCTTTTGGGTGTTCTGGCAGGACCAGGCCTATGTCTATTGTTTTCCTCGCTCATGGTTGCAGTGACTTAATTCTGAAGCATGGCAACATCTCCAAATCCCTTTCTCTTCAGGACCTCTGTTTTTCTTTACTATAACTACACTTTCTTTGATCCACTCTTCCTTAGGAAAAGATGGAGAATCATAGATCCTTTTCTGCGTTCTCCTTATATGGGTCATGTTTTTGGTTTTCCCAAGCTTCCTCATTTTTGTGTTAATGACTGTGGTCAGAGTTTCCAGCTCTGCAGTCATTGCATGCATTTCTCATGAGTCCTTTTTATTTTTTTTCAGATAGGAAGAAGGACCTAAGTAAGATGAAGAGCCTCTTGGATATCCTGACTGATCCTTCAAAACGGTGACTTCCTTTTCTGTTCAGCTTGTATCAGCACCTCCCCAGTGAATTCTGTTCCTCCCAGACCACTGTAAGGAGTCTGAGAGAATACCTAGGCTACCAGTGGTGTCCCAGACATTAGTCTGCCATTCTGTGGCAATATTAGTATCTAGACATAGCAATAAATTAGGAGTTCTTAATTCTAATCAGAATGTCTTTGTTTTTGCAGTCTTTCATTGTTATATCACTCCCTTTCTTGCCCTTCAGCAAATCCTTTAAAGGATCCAGATAAGTTATTTAAAAATCTAAGTACTTTGTGATCTGGCACTTTTTTGCCAGAATGTTAGGTCTGAATCATGTTATCTAACTTAGAATTTATGCTCCCTGAGGCAGAGCTATAGTTCCTGTTTTGAATAGCACTCATGCACATCAGCATTGAAATAATGTTGATGGGTGGCTCAGATATCACAAAATCCTCATCTTGAACAGTAGAGAGGATTATGCTAACTCTTTCCTTTTTCTTTTCAGATGCCCTCTGAAGACGCTACAGAAATGTGAAATTGCTCTAGAGAAGCTCAAGAATGACATGGCTGTAGTAAGCAATGAGAGTTACTTTTAATCTAACTGGAGAGTCAGGCTGGCAGTGTATTCCACAGAGGGCACCAGTTTAGCAGAATTGTTTCCCTTCTCTTCATGGTCACAACAGGATTATTTGTGTTAGTGCTGGACTGAGCAAGTAAATTGAAAACTGTTTAAACCCTTCAACAGAAGTGTCTTTTGCACACCTTTTAAAGATTATTCTACTGAATAATCAGGTATTCCTTTCTTGTACAAGGTATTCTTTTCAGGTATTCCTGTCTTGTACAAGCACCTAGGAATGATTCTTGTTCTTGTCTTGAGCAGATGTTGCCAACAAGGCTTTCTACATGAAAGATACTGACAGTATCTGGAAATGAAATGCCAGGAGAAGGATCACGTGAGGATTCCCTATTGTGTTCCCTTCCTCTGGGGCATCTGGTATTGGCCACTGTTGGTAGACAGGATACTGGGCTGGATGGACCTTTGGTCTGACCCCGTCTGGCTGTTCTTACGTGTCACTTTTGGTTACTGTGGGTTTGTCTACATGAGGACAATCAAGACCATTAATTAATATTAAAAGCGTGAATCCAAAACTGCATTAAATATCTTTATGGACAATCCCATTCAGAGTTAGTGGTCTTAATTTGGTTTAGTTTAATGATTTTCAGAGTTTAAGCTGAGTGAGTGTACCCCTAAGGGGGTTTAATACAATTTAACTAATCCATTTAAAATTTCAGTTAAATTTGAAACAGGACTATGTAGCACTTTAAAGACTAACAAGATGGTTTATTAGTTGATGAGCATTCGCGGGCCAGACCCACTTCCTCAGATCAAATAGTGGAAGAAAATTGTCACATTTTCTTTCACTATTTGATCTGAGGAAGTGGGTCTGGCCCACGAAAGCTCATCACCTAATAAACCATCTTGTTAGTCTTTAAAGTGCTGTATCGTCCTGTCTTTTGTTTCAGATACACCAGACTAACACGGCTACATCTCTATCACTAGTTAAATTTGAATTTGCATTCCTGAGTATCCCTATGTATTCAAGCATTTAATGTTTCTAGAGTAGCATAAAACAGGTTAGAAGAATGCAAGGAATTCTTCTGTGTATTAGAAATACTGAACTGAAAGTTTGCGTAATGAATTATATGTCAAGATGTCTAAAATATTTGCTACAGCACATAAATAAGATATGCTTCTTTGTACTTTAGCCCACACCACCACCTCCACCAGTGCCCCCTACCAAACAGCAGTACTTGTGCCAGCCACTTTTGGATGCTGTTTTGGCAAACATTCGTTCACCAGTCTTCAACCATTCCCTTTATCGTACCTTTGTACCAGCTATGACTGCAATACATGGCCCTCCAATCACGTATGTATCATTGCCCTGTTATCTGCTTTAGAGAAATTAATCATTTGGTTGAAATGTTGGAATGATGGACTGGGGTGATGGATAGGTGGCTGTTTCGTCATCTGTAAGGTACTTGAAAAATCATCTTAGATTGAAAAACATGGACGTGGCATAACATGGTGCCCATTCTGAGTTCTTTTGTGGATGTATTTTATGCAGAGCCCAAATGGCTTCGCCTCGAAAGCGTAAATATGAAGAGGATGAAAGGCAGACCATACCAAATGTATTACAAGGGGAAGTTGCAAGATTAAATCCTAAATTCTTGGTGAATCTGGATCCCTCCCATTGCAGTAATAATGGTACAGTCCACCTCATATGCAAACTAGGTAAGCTGAGAAGAAATGAAGACTATTTAAGGGGTATTAATTTTTTATCTCCTGTTAATATGTACAACTGTAAATCCTGCCAACATGCAATTTCATCATGGTGTTTCTTCAGCTTGCCAGAGTTGTGGCAGTGCATTATGTGCTCTGTGGAGCTTGGTTCCGCAGCAAGTCTCCAGATGTACCCAGATCAAGTAGATACATATTTAATCCATTTGCACTTTTTTTTTTTTTTTTAAGAAAGTGGGAAATAATCTTTCTAAAGCTAAATCATTGTTTTCTTCTGCACCCTCTAACCCCGGGGGAGGGGTGGGGGACTTTTAAACTGGAATATTGGTGGATTTTTGTGGCTAAATGTGTGCGTTTAATTGGCTTCCTAAGTTGGGATCCAAGCAAATTCTCCAGGTAATCTGAATTCCTGATAGTATGAAGTAGCCTATTTATAAATATATCTACATTCCTTTTTCTTTGTATTTCAAGAAATTTGCTGTTTGGGATGTGAGAAATAAATAGGACCAGGTAATTGTTGCCACGTGGGAGAATCCCAAGAATGAAACAGTACAGTATTTAATTGTACAACTGGATCTTGTTAGATTTCTGCTCCCCAGATGAAAAATCCTGCCTTTTGCAATGATAAGTGTACTTTGCTGATAACAATTTCTCACCCTTGGCTCAACCTTCCCTGGTATTAGAAAATGGTTTGATGCCTTGTGTAGTCTGGACAAAAGCCTTCAGCACCTTGAAATCTGATACTGGGACATAGAGGAACTAGGTCTGGTTTTTTTGGAATTGAAAATGTCTTTCCTAGTTCACCACTAATTGTCACAGCTAGTCTTGTAAGTGAGGAAGGGTGTAAGTCTTTGCCCTTCTTTCTCAAACAAGCAAGAATAGAATATATCTTCAAGTGAACTTGTTTTGCCCTTTAACTGAAAAAGATAATGTGGTGCTTGCTGGTAGGTTGGAGTGGGAATGGTGGTGGTGAGTCGGAGCTACGCAGCCCGCAATGTGGCAGGCTCGCCCAGCCTGACTGGAGCAGTCCCCACCCACATCGTGGGTTAACCAGTTAAACTTAATGTTTAACTTTTAAACTGGGATTTTACATCCCTGGTTTTAATGTGTACAAGACAAAACATGGGAATGCTCTCTTCTTGACTTCTGTGTGTATTATGGACAGTACCCAGACCGGGGTGGGGAAAGTAATGCCCTGGGGCTATATGTTGTCCCTGGCTTGCCTAGATCTGGCTCCTCAGGGCTCTTCCCCCAGCACTGAGGAGCCCACACTGCCCCCACACCTGATTTTTTTTCTGTGGGTCAGCAGCCCCCGACCCAAAGAATATTCCCCACCCTTGCCTAGACGTTTTGAATTTAGGAAACCAAATTCAGATGAAAGACTGAGACTGATGAGTGGGAATGTGTTGTGGAGCTGGAAGTCTTATATTGTGCTTCCAACAAGCAGAGGCCATTTTTAAAGTGAACTTTTCAGAAATGAAGACTCCTAGCCTTGCTTCTTTTCAAAGATTAGATACTGGACTGGATAGGAAGAGACTAGATCTAATGAACAGACATAGGGAAGACTCTGATGCCCTGATGGAAAATATCTTTGGTTAAAGTAAGTATGTTTGAATCCTAGATGACAAGAACCTTCCAAATGTCCCACCACTACAGCTCAGTGTTCCAGCTGACTATCCAGATCAGAGTCCTCTGTGGATAGACAACTCTCGGCAATATGGTATGGGGACAAAAGGATGGCATTGCTTTTTAAAAGTGGGGGATCAATATGTGATAATCAGTTACGCAACTGTATTCATCTGGGCTGTCTCCTTTTTTTTCTTTCCAGCAGCCAATCCCTTCTTGCAATCGGTATATCAGTACATGACATCAAAATTGCTGCAACTTCCAGACAAGCATTCAGTCACAGCACTCTTAAACACCTGGGCACAGAGTATTCGTCAAGCCTGCCTCTCAGCTGCATAACTGTCCCCAACCCTCACCTTGTGAAATCATGAAGTAAAGAAATTGGGTCTCAACAGCTGGCCTTTCCCATGGCCACTAGAAGAATCACAGGCATTTTGGGAGGGAACTCCAGAAAAAGCCTTATACTGTTTTGTTTCTAGGTGTCAGGTTCAATAGAGAACCTGGCGTTAGATTTAGATTTCATGCTTTTATCTTCTGCCTTTGTGGACTTTGCCAGCATTTTCACATATACAGAACATGTGTATATATGGTTCTTGAGACTGTATTAGAAGGGGCTTTTATTGTCTTCTTAGAGAAGAAATTATTTGTAGACTTCCATCAGGGAGTCTGAATGGTATAGCTGGGAGAGGAGAGAATGTCCTAATTTGCTTCAGACTTTGCCTGATGCCAGTATTCCTCACACTCTTTGTTGTGTGACTTGATATTGCCCCAAGAATAAATCAGCTGCAACTAGAATGTGCTCACAAACTTTCCTGTGGTTGCAGGAGTCTGGTAATTTAATTTGGAGACAAGGAAGAAATCAGGGCATTTTTAGGGCCTGCCTACTGTTTCAGATTAATCTGAATAATTATGTTTAGGAATAAAACCAACCATAGGAAAATTTTTATAGCTTATTTTAAACACTACTTTGTATAAACAGTTTTCGGTTAGCACGGACCATACATTTCTCTCACTTAGAAGGTTGGGTAATTTGAAGAAAGTGTGTTCAGTGTGCATGCTGACTGATTTCCCTGTGAGTGCAGGGAAAATCAATTGATTTAATCATAGCAGCACTGTAAATGAATCCAGTGGGCTTCAGCTACTTATCTGCATTTATATTTACCTGGCAATTCTCTTGGTGATGGCTTTCTTGGGAAGTGATGCAACTCATGGGAAATGTTTAGTTTAAAAAAAAAAAAAAAAACTGAACACAGCTCAGGTCAGAGACTTGACAGCTGAACTTCTGTGCCTCAGGCACTGAGGGGCACCTAACTATGAAAGTATTACTGGTAATCTCAGTTAGGATCAGAAGACTGATTATCAGCTGCTATGTTGTGAGGCAATGCAAATGAAGTCACTTGCTATAAGTCACAGTGATTCTATATGCAATGTGATTACATTTAAATTGGCCCTCTCTTTGTAGTTCATTCATTCTTAATTCCCAGATGTAAGGGAATTTCAAAGTCTAAAGTATTTATATCACACCCTGCTCCATCCCCCAGTATTGTGCAACAGTCCCTGACAAGCAGCTGGACTCTTACAGTGGTGTCAAGAAATTGCTGTGACCTCCTGTAAATCTGTGTGGTGTCATCAGTTTTAGGATGTTTTAAAATGTGGATACTTAGTAAGCACTGATTGAGGTAGCCGAGTGGTATCAATATTTTGTACATGAACTAATGCATTACCTGTTTGTTTTATCATAATAAATTTATTATTATTTCTGTGTTTGAAACTAACCTACTCTCATTCCAATGTTAGTCTTTGTGCAACAGCTCTGCAATGACCAAAGGCTGGTGGTTACTTCATATGTCCTAGCAGAAGCTGTAATCTCTGCTCCCAGAAGTGAGTTCGACTGAAGGAGAGATTCAAAAGATTGCTAATAGAAATGTTATATAGAAGTGAAAGACTTTTAATTTTGATCTAACCCAGTTCACTAACTTAATATAGGTGCAGGTGCTTATGTGAAATGGATTAGTGGACAGATGTTCATATTAGAAAAGACAACAACTTAGTTTGTATTCTTGTTGCAGTCAGGTGAGAAGACAAGAACTGAATGAACACAGGCGAGATCCATTTCCTTGACATAACAGTACACTTACATGACGGACACATTTCCACCACCTTATACTGGAAACCTACTGACTGCTACACTTACCTTCATGCCTCTAGCTTCCATCCCAGACACATTTCTCAATCTATTGTTTACAGCCAAGCCCTAGGGTACATCCGGATTTGCTCCAGTCCCACAGACAAACACCTATAGGATCTATATAGCGCATTCTTAAAACTGAAATACCCACCTGGAGAAGAGAAATAACAGATCAACAGAGCCAGAAGAGTACCTGGACACAAACTACTTCAAGACAGGCCAAGAAGAGAAAACAATGGAATTCCACTTGTCATCACCTATAGCCCACAACTTAAACTCTTCCAACGCATTATCAACAATCTACAGCAGTGGTCTCCAACCTTTTTACACCCAAGATCACTTTTTAAATGACAGAACAAGCCACGATCTAGTGTCCTGTCCTTGAAGCCCCACTGCACCCTCTCTATTCTCTTCCTCTCCATCACTTGCTATCCCCAACCCTTATACTGCTGCTTTTCCCCCCAATTCTTCTGTAGGAAGAGGTTTTTCCAACATTTGGCCTTCTAGACTGGACCAAATGTCAGAATAAAACCTTCTTTTAGAAGCCCCCTTGTTCCTCATGGAAAGAGGAATATAGGGGTGACCAAAAGAGCATGTTTGCTCTTCCACTAAAAAAAGCGGAAGAACAAATGCAGCCCTGGATGCAGAAGAGTTTTTCTGGGATCTCTCTGGAATCCTGAAAAACTCCTGCAGTCTAGCCATAGCCTCACTGGGTTGAGACAGGAGGCGTGGGCTCTGGGGTGGGAATGAGGGATTTGGGTGTGGGAAGGGGTGAGAGGTGCTAGCTCTGGGAGGAAATCTGGATGCAGGAGGAGGTGGAGAAGGGGATGCTGGCTCAGGGAGGGGGCTCACACTGGCTTGGAGAGGTGGCTCCAGGATGGGCAGTGTTGAGGTCAGATGGAGGGTTGGGATACTAAGCAAGCCACAGGTTTGTGAATGTGAGGGTGCAGGAATTTGGGTGGGGTATGAGAGGCTCAGGGCAGGGGGATTCCAGTGTATGAGAGGCTCAGATCTAGGGTCTGGGGGAAGGGTGGGTGCAGGAGTATTATAGTGCTGTGGCCAGATAAGGGCTTGTTGGCCAGGCTTCATTTTTAAATAAAATACTGTGTCAAACACAAAGTTTCTGCATTGTCTTTATTTCTGAGCATGGCAGGGAACCTGTTTTGAATCAGGGGTCACTGACCCACAGAAAAGCCAGTTGAGGCCACACAAGTGAGATGAAGAAAAAAATCTCCTCCCCAAAGCCCCCAAGCTTCACTAATGTGGCCCCAACTGTGTAGGGAGCAGGGGACATAGTACTGGGGAAGGGTGCTAGTGGGTGCTGGGGCAGGGAACAGGGTGCCAGTGGGGGCAGGGTTCTGTGGCTGGGGGCAGAGGAGAGGGGACAGGGTTCTTCAGCAGGGGGCAGAGTCCCCTCCAGCTGCCTCCTCCCAGGACTCCCAGCAGACAAGGGAAGCCCTGTTGCACGCCTT